AATATACCCTTCATTACGGCTTATGTCTAGACGCTCTCCCAAAGCGTCATTGCTCCTAGCAGTGCTTTTTGAGTGGCTAGGGTATGTGACTACAGGTTAAGGGTGTGTGACGACTAAACTAGTTCACTGATTGGTCTGATGTAGCTTGGAGTGCAGACAACGGAAAGGCCTCGGCTCTTGTGCTGCCCATCCTATGGGCTGTAACCTGGACAGAGTTAAAGGTCAGAAAAGGGGTGACTAGGGACATTTGTCACTTGTTGCGGCTGCTGCTTTGCTGTCTTCTGCCTGTTATGAACTGTTTCTCCTGTGATGGCCCATCCCCTACCGCCCTGCTTTGGAGCCAGCCAACTATGAGTTGAAACCTCTACAAACTGAACTGCAAGAAACCTTCCATCCTCTAACTTGTGGATGTTGGCACCCAGCAAGGAGGAATTAAGACACCTGCCCAAGGCAGCCCCACCTCCTAGAGGCCACCATTTCCCAGTAGTGCTGTGAGCTGGAGACCAGGCTCCCAACACATAAGCTTTGGGAAAACATTTAAGATTCAAACTGTAACTTCATCTAGATTCTGGCCCTGGACACAGTGCAAAGTGCATTCAGTCCATCTCCAAGATTCCTCAGTCTAAACAGTTTCAGCTTTTCTCAAAAGTCTAAATCCAAGGTCTCCTCTGAGACTCAAGGTAAACTTTTAGCTGTGAGATTCTAAAAAAATCAACACAAAAGAGTTACACTTTTATATTCTTGATCTTTCCATGGGGTGGGATCTTGCTGAGTCTCAAGATGCCCTTAAGGTAACTCGCTTCTTATCCTGCTGCAAACTATTTGAGTTTTGCTTTTTAAAATAATTTTTATTGGTAATTTTTAGATATACATGATGATCACATTTATCCTAGGGAATTTGTACCTGTACATGGCATATCGTGCTTTTCCTTTTTTTTCTCATCTCCCTCACCTTCCTTCAGGCTCTCTGTCCCTCTTTATTTACAAAAGCATCGTTTCCATTTTTTCCTTCTATTTATTCTCTTGCCCCTTCTCCCCACCACCCTTTGTTCCCCTTCTCTCTAAGCATTTTCTTCCCATTTCCCAGTATTTTGTTTTATTGAGGCACGGTCTCATTTATAATCCAGGATGGCCTCAAATTTCTCATCCCTCTCAGAAATTTTTTTTTTTAAAGTGGTGCTAATTTCTTTAGCAACAACTACCTCTTTGGCCTTAATTTTAAACATACTCTCTTCTGAGTCAAACTGCAAGATTTTCAAATCTTTTCTCCTCAACTTTTGCTGCTTGTTCTTACTATCAATCTAGCTAAAAGCAGCGAGCGATACCCATGCCACTGGGAGAGTACTTGTGCACCTTGAAAAACTGGTTCATCACCTTTAAACTCAGCCTTCCACCAAGTCTTGGCAAGAATAAAATCTAAAGCTCTTTGCTAGAATAAATTGGTCTGTAGTCCAATTTCCGAGTCCTGTTCCCTCGTGAAGCCTCATGAGCCCACCTTTACTGTTTACACTGCTGTCAGCACTCTGATGATTTGAGCTCACATGTTATGGTTTGTGTCTAGGTGGCCTCCCAAGCCTCACTCAACCACGGAGGCGGCTGAATCTAGCATTTGCAATTGGTTAATTGTCTAGCACTGGGATTGGTAGTGTGAGTGTTGCACCCACCTAGGGTGGAGCTGACATACAATATAAGGGAGGGAAGAAAGTATGTGTTTTTTCTTTTGCCCATTTTGCTCTTGCTATGTGCAGTCTCCATGAATGGCTGCTCCTCAGCCACACTATCCTACCTTGGAGCCAACCGAGTATCAACTGAAACCTCTAAAAATCTGTAAACTAAATAAACCTTTCCTTGCTTCACTTTGGGCATCAGGTATTTTGTCTCAGCAATGAGAGAAAAGTAACCAAGACACATGAAACTGTCCATTTAGCTCTACTCACACTGTTCTAAACTTCTCTAACCCACTTCTCCAGACTCCCCACATCTCCAAACTGCTCCAATTTCACCACAGGGTTCTGAACTACCCTATCAGGTATGCCCACAACTCCACTTCTAGGTTTTGGTTGTACTTGGGAGATTGAACCCAGAACCTTTGAACTAAAATACCTCTTCAGGCCTTTGTAAATTTTTATTCTGAGAAAGGGTCTCACTACATCATGAAGTTGCCCGAACTGAGCTCCAATTTCCAATCCCTCTTCCTTAAATCTCTCAGAGGGCTGGGTTAAGAGGCGTGTACCACCATACCTAGATGCAGTATCAAATTTGTTAGTGAGCTTTTTATTGCTGGGAAGATAGCTGATATAAGCAATTTAAAGGAAGAAAGATTTTTATTGGTGCATAGTTTCTGGTTTCAGACCCTGCTCAGCTGTGCCAGGGCAGAAGCATCATGGGAGAATGACTTACACCTCAAAACATCCAGGACACCAGAGGTGCTGAGAAGGGAACCCGGGACAAGACATAGTTGGGAGACAGGTGCAGGTCAATCTCCTAACAGCCACTCAGTTACAAACTCACAGATGGGTTCATCTACTGATAAAGTCAGCACCCTCATCCGGAATGCCCACCTCTGAGCGCTGCTGCACCGGGGACCAAGTGACATTCCAGATCCCAGCTGTTAACATGGAGCCTTTAATAAACTTGAAACACCTTCAAACCCCTAAGTTAACTATGTGCAGCTCTAGAAAACTAAGGCTCCGAGAGGCCTAAAGGTACCTTGAAATGAACTTGAAATTCCCTTGAGTGACTCGGCAAGTATTTGTGTACTAAGCAGAACCCTGATAACCTTTGCATGCCCGGAGGCACTGATGCTCTCAGAATTCCTAACTTCCTGCTTCTCAAAGAGTCTGTCACACCCAGAGCAGGAAACTGGTAACATGAAAACAGAGAAGGAGAACCTTGAGAAAGGAGGAATCAATGGACTAAGTCAAGCAGAAATGATTTATTTCTTAACAACAGAAACATTCTTAACCAATGACATCTCTGGGACAACTTGCAAAACTGAGGCTGCCGAGTCTGGTCTGAGAAGGGGCCAGATTTTCTTGCCTGCCCATCACCCAGGGGACTCCCACCAAGCCCCAGAGCTCTTGGCAGCATTCTGAAGCTCACTGTAACTAGAGTGACTGATAGCAGCTCTGCACTTGCTGCAACCAAGATAAAAACGTAAACTCTGTGGAATATGTATCTTTATATAAGAAAGGCTTTACCAGGATGTTAAGTTACACTTCAAAGTGATCCAATCTATATAGTGATTGCATTTTCAGTTAATATGCCTTAAAGCAATGCCCCCCCCCCTGAGACAAGGTCTCACTGTCTAGTTTAGGCTGGCCTGACCTCATGGCAATCCTCCTGTCTCAGCTTCCTGAATGCTGCGATTACAGGTATGCCCCACTATGTCCAGCTGTCAATCTGAAAAACGTACAATCTACTTACTATATATCCATTTTGAGGCTTTATAGCTCTTATAGCTCTACAGCTGTATTGCCTAACAGTGGACACTGGACACGTGTGGGACCTGAACTACAGCAAACGGTGACAGTAAACAGACATTCTACTGCTGTGTGTGTGCAGACACACTGAGATCAGTAAATTAGAAAGCACTTTACCTGTGAAGTCTAAAATTGAATCAAAACAGCACAAAATCTGCAAATACACTGTGTAAAGACGAGCACTCACCCTGATTGTTAAGACAGTCACTTTGTTCTCATCACAAATGAGTATGAAGTCAGAAGTGTTCAAGGGCTGGCTGTGGAGCTCAGGGACCCCATGCTTGCCTGACATGTTTGAGGCGCGCTGGGTTCAATCCCTGGCACCCCCCCCCCCACAAAAAATTAAACTTATCTACAAATACACACTTATGGATTTGAAATAAAAAGTCCATCCTACATTTCCCAGCTTTTAGAACACCCTCCAAATACACCATTACCTTTTTTAATTTTGAGGGCAGAATTCATGTGCTCCACTACTGAGCTATACCCCCAGCCCTGCTTTTTTTTTTCTTTTCTGATGGAATCTTGCTGGGTTGTTCAGCTTGGTCCTGAACTTCTGGGCTCAAGTGTGTCTTCATTTTAACCCTTCCAAGTGTTGAGACTGCAGTATGATGAACTCTGTACCTGAACTCTGCTCAAGTTTTATGAAATTTTTGCAGTTTTACCATTTAAATATTTTTCTCTGAACGTGAGTCATTTTCTTTTCTGTTTTTTTGTGCCAGGGATTCAACTCACAACCTTGTGCTTGCCAGGCAGGCAGTTAGGGTGCTGAGCCAGATCCCTGGCCCAACACAAGTCATTTTATAACCCTGTATCTAGTACTCTCTGTCTGCACCTTTCTGATTCACACTGTAGCACTTCTTTTGGTTAGGGTATATTCTTTCCCAGGTCAGTCAACTCTGAGATTGAGTCTCCATTTCGTATCTATTTTCCAAGTAAGAAAGGAAGAGGAAAAGGCTAGTAATTTTACCAGGAAAACAAAACTGCTCTAAAAAGAGCCCCAAGAAACTTCTGCTTATATCTCCCTTTCAGAATTGGGGTCCTTAATCACTATAAGCTGTAAGTCTTCTTTCTGAAGATGAGCCTGTCCTAGATGTGGGACCTGGGTGTAGAAATAGACAAAGAAATTCCACATTCCCACATGTGAGCTAACTGCGTAAGCCTGGCAGGTTACAGCAAGCCTTTCCGAACAGGAATCACACACGGGAAAAAACACTGACTCCTACTCCTCTGCTCCTTTAACTCCAAAGTCTAACCTGTGCTGTGAGTGTTCTCCAAACAACCCTCAGGCACTGCTACAGGGATAAAACACCCCAGGAAATCAAAGTCTTGTTTACAGAGCTACTGGCCACTGGGTTCTCTACCACCCTCCACCCCTCCCCACCTCTACCCCCACCCCCCCACTGGCCACCTTTTCCTAGCTCTTCAGGACCTTTAAGACAAGGTAAGGTAAAATCAGCCAACAAATTAGAAGTTTAACAGGTAAAAGATTCAAGCTTATACTAGCAGAGAAAAAAATTACTTAGTCAAGATTTATTTCAAGGCCTAAAAACATTCAGACTAATCACAATGGAACTACTATAACATCTTACAATTCAGAAACACTTAATACACAGCTGTCAAAAAGTGCAGACAACCCCTAGACAACATACTGTGGATTTTTCAAAAGCAATGGCTATTTTGTGAAATGTAAAGTAACAATGACATATGCAAGAACTTTCATATGATGAGGATGTAATCAGCAGCAGGCTACTCAAAATAATACAAATCTGTCTTAACAATTTCCATGTCAGCTTTCAACTTTGTTTTATAAAGCGACTGATAACTGGGTAAATAAGGTTTCTTTCAAGCATGGGATTTCGAACATCAAAAGCTGTATTTTCAGGGTTGGGCTGGGGAGAAGGGTAACTCAGTGGCAGGGTACTTGCTTGGCACGCACAAGCCGGTGCACTGAGTCCTCAGGATCATTAAAAAAACCTTCTAAATGTTTTTATAAAGTAATGAACAAGCCTGCATTGCTCATCATAAGTGCACACAGCATGAAGTAAAATGCAGCTGGGCCTGGTGGCCACACCTGTAATCCCAGCACCGGGCTGCAGTGAGTCCCTGTCTCCAAAATCAGACAGAATGCAATCTAACTAATTCATACATGCAACCCTCTTCTCCCACGTTACATGTGTTTCAACATACTTCAGAAACATTTATTAAACATCAGTAATTAGGGAAAATAAATTATCTATAAAATTACCTACTACATACTTCAACTCTTCCCCTCCCAAACTGCTCTGCCCAAATCGGTTTCCAGAGTGAAGATGATTCACTGTACTCAGGTGACACAAAGCAAACTGTGATCTTCATTCCTAAAGGACCCAGAGAGTTCAACTTTTCATCTTCATAAACAGAAGAATTCAAATGGCCAAAGTCAGGAAAAGGAAATGCAAAATGTGAAGACCATTTAACTAGAGTTTTATCTACACCTTCCTTTCAAGCTACAAGTACTCTTTACATTAGCATGAATTATACTGGGCATAAACAAGTACAATCGTTTAGACTTCCTCTGGAACATGCAATCACATGAAAAATAAATAACATGCTAACCACTTTATAGTTTAACTGGCCCTTAAGTAGTTTCCCAAGAGGGAAAATAAGCACTTCATGTTAAGACACCAGCACACGTGATGAAGGGGCTGGTGTCGAGTCCTGAGGAAGCTTCCTACAGCTGCAGCGCAGGGGCTGGGGTGCAGGTCACGGGATAGCGCTGGCTGTCAGCAACAGTGGTGAATGCACGGTACACTGCTGCACCGGGCTGCCGGCTGTCCCTGAGAGCTCTCAAAGGTTCGCCAGCGCAGGCCTTGTGTGACAGCCTGGGTTTAATCCCAGTGCTGCAAAAAAAAAACCAAGCAACACAGATCCACACTTCATCACTGTTCACGTATGGACGGAATGGAATGAGGGGGACAGTTGCCACCTCTTAGTGCAGAGATGCAGGCGGTTTAAAATGGAAAACGGTTACAGTTGTTGTGAAAGGAAAACAGAACAAACATCAGGAAAAATGTGAAGAACAAAAATATTTACTGTTATATAAGAAAAAATTATCCAACACAAAAATGAGACCTTCAGAATTGAAATATTGCATAGGGGTGTTTTTTTTTTAACTGTCTTATTAAAAAAAATAATCAAACTGATAGAGAGATCCAGGCCACTTAGAACTGAGGGAACTCTATGGAAAACAAAAGGCAACAGCAAAATGAATTGATCTCATAAGGGAAATGAGTTAAACCAAATTTTACAAAATTCTTCATGTCTGTAATAATATATTAATGTAGAAAATATCAAAAATACAGGATGGACTTTTTTTTATCAAGGTTTATAATAAATTATTAAACTTCTATTTACTTTTCTAAGTCTTCTCTGTTCAGCAACATATGCTACACAAGCACATACATGCTGGTGTCTTACCATGAGAATCAGTTTTCAGTTCAAACTACTGACATGCCTTTCTACCCATCCTTATAGGACATTTATTCCATTCTAAAATAATATCCTTCTAGTGGTTCATTTTTATCTGCATATTACATAAAGAACCTTGATTTTAAAAGAAGCTTTTTAATACTAAAGCATGATGGATTTAACAGTGGAAGCATCGTTGGGTAACTCTACACTACTGTACACTTTAATTCACAGCTATAGGAAAATGTTTGAGGTTTAAAGTACAATCAAGATGAGACTGTGTAATTATGAACAGTGAAATACAGAAAACAGCACATGAATAAATACAGTGATTATATTCATCAGTGGCCATTCATAATTTTGCCTTTTGAAACCTGGAAGAAATTGTCATCTTTGAGTTTCAGATGTTCTGGCAAATCTAGTCGTTTGTTAGCTTCTTCAATGTCTCCTTGAATCGCTGAGATAAGGGACTCTGCAGAGAGAACACACCACGTACAGGTACTGAGAGGCTGTGAAGGGACTTTTTGTTATGCTCTTGCTTGGGCTCCCCTAAAAATGGCACAGGCTGACAGAGGAAACCCCCAACAAATGTGCGCTCAGGCCCTCTTTTCAGGCTTAAGAAAAAGGAGTGGTTTTGTTACAAACGCGAGCTCGAGGTAGCGCTTCTCTCTGGCGGTCCTGTTCCTCCTCCCTGGGACACTGTCCCCTACACAGCAGCAAGGTCCCCCCAGACACGGGAGCCCAGCTCTTGGACTATCTGGACATGAGCCCCATGAGCATCTATTCTTCAAATACTCCTCTCGCATTCAGTCGTAGCAACAAAAGCAACTGGAACAGCAACTTTGGGCAAATTACTTAACCTTTAGGTCAATTTTCTCATCTGTGAAATGGGCAGAATAATTCTTCATACAGTTCTTGGGATAAAGCAATCTACTCATGTGAGACACTTAAAACATTCAAATGCTCAAATACTACACATCCTACTATCATTATTACTAGTGACAAGCTGCGGCAGCACAAATACTAAAGATCCAAGTAGAGCTTACCTAAAGAATCGAAGTTCTTTTCTGGTCGGAGGTAGCCAACAATAGCCACGTTGAGGATCTCGCCATAGAAGTCCTCCTTGAAGGTGTGCATGATGTGAGTTTCCTACAACCGAAAATGATGAAGGATGTGAAATCGGAAATCCATCTTCATGTTTATGGTGGGCTAACTTAAATGAGACCATAAATTCTTGTAAAAGTTCTAGAAGTAGCTGGGTGTGGTGGTGCATGCCTGTTATCCTAGCATTTGGGGAGGCTGAGGCAGGAGGATCACTGCAAGTTTGAGACGAACCTGGGCTACAAAGTGAGCTCAAGGCCAGCCTGAACTGCATAGTGAGACCCTGTCTCAAAAAGATTAAAAAAAAAAAAAAAAAAAGTTTCAAAGACTTTCATCACTTCTGTTTCTGTCCCAACCTTACCCATAACACTGATATGTTATACTGGTATGATCTGCTGTTGAAAATGGGTAGAATCTCTCCAGTTTGGATAAATCTTCCAAGTTTTAGTAGATTCCCCTAAAGAACAAATCAGAGACCCAAAGGAAAAAAGACCAAACAGAAATAAGACACCTGAGGCTTAACAGGATGGTAGCACTGGAATTTGGACAGCTCAAGTGTAAACTATTCAGAAACAGCTACGTTAAGGTATGTTTTGAAGCACAATGTGAGACAAGCCCTGAAATGATCCTTAAACCTGATGAATCACCCACCTGTTAAGAATATAGCTTAATCAGTCAGCATAATGAAAGGAATAGATACTAAGAAATATTACAAGTGATCCACTTAAAATATACATGAGATGTGCCTTTCTGAACTTAGTAAGTTAACCTCATACACTTAAATATGATTCAACCCAAATGAGAAGGAAATAATGCATGAGATTTTAGAGTAAATTTTACTCTCTTTCTTAAATAAATAACAGTATAATATTCCATAACATATTAGCTTTCTTGCTTGGGGAGGGTCACAATATTTTGGGGCCATTAATAGTGTTGGTGCAGTACTGCCCATCCAGAAGGAAATCCCTTAAAACACCCTTAAAGATAAGGACAGCAGAAATAAATTTTATGATTCTTTTCCTGTTCCCTATCTTCCATACATGAGAGAGAAAAAAGTGTCAGCTTAAAGATGTGTGCGCCTTCAGGGCAGATGGATCAGAGTGTGCAGTCCTCCCTACCCTGATTTACCGTTCTCCACATGACACTCGGATTCAGTGCCATCTCAATTGAAATACCAAATGTCGGAAGCTGACACACCATTCTAAAACTTGTATAGAAAGGGCAAAATCATCCGAGGAAATCCTGCAAACAGAACTTGTAAACTCATACAAGACAGCAAGACCTTTTATAACCCTATAGAAATTAAGACCCCTACAGTAATGGCTCACGAAAAGCCAAGCGGCTCAAACATGCATAAATATCTTTCTGAACTCTTACACCTATAAAGTCACTTTATTTACAACCAACATGACAATGCAGTACCATCAGGAAAAGCAGGCACTTTTAATACATGATGTAGGCTACCTCCATATCCATTTGAAGGGGAAAAAATACTTTTGACCTTCATTGTATATATACCCCAAAATCAATTTAATAAGTCAAGAAAGCTTTTAAGTTTCTCTCTCTTCCTCCCTTTTTTTTTTTTTTTTTTTTTTGAAGTAACGTCTTGCTCTGAATTTAGATTGGTCTTAAACTTACTATGTAGCCTAGACTAGTCTTGAACTTGGAGCAATCATCCTGCCTCAGCCTCAGTAGAGCTAGGATTTACAAGTGTGCACCACCATGCCCAATTTAAATTTCTTAAATGAATTATTAAAAACACTAACCTACCATAAAAGAAAAACAATGGACTGGACTACATTAAAATTAAGAATTTTTTGGACTGGGATGTAGTTCAGTGGTACGGTGCTTGCCTAGCATGCACACGACCCTGGATTCAATTCCCAGCGCTGCCAAACAACAAAAACAACAAGAAGCACAACGTGAAATTGAAGAAATTCCTAATTTTGTAATATATAGTTTATAGTTCCAACAAGGAAACTGGGCCTAAACTGCACTAAGAACTCCCTTAAGACAATAAGAAAGGTAATACAGTTTCTAAAGTAAGAGCACAAGATTGGAACAGGAAATCTCTCAGATGTCTGTTACTAGCAAAGGGTACTAGAGGGACAGTATCAATAAAAAGCCCTGAAATGTATCAACAGCTTATCAGTGAAAAGGAAGTTTCTCTTAGTCACAGACCCGTAAGACATTCCTCAACTGGCTCAGTGGCTTCATTCCTGCTATCTACTCTGCTCCTAAGAAAAATCAGTCATAAAATAAACTCTCTTGCCTTTTTATTTCTCGTTCTACAGAACAGTACTCAGTATGCTTTTTTATCAATTTGTTTTCTTTATCTCCTCCAATGATTTTCATCCCCTTTAATATTCACAAGTTAACTGAGATACTGAGCAAATGCTATCTGGCATTATGGGTCTTTACTACTGTTTATACCAGCACTCAGCCTTGTGGTTTTTCAACCGTGACATACTTCTCTTACTAACTTTATAAGAAAGTTAATTTAGATCATTGTAAATCCATTTTGTAGTTTATTTTGAAACGGAAAAAACAAAAATGATATGGAATTTGAAAACAACGTAATAGGAGATTAACAATGTTTCTGACATACTTGAAGCTTACAAAGGATTCAGTCAAATCTCACAAAACATTTAAAGTGTAGGGATTTTGTGAAGAAAGCTGAAAGTCAGGAGAAAAGCAGGATGCCCTCTGGGTGAATTTAAAAACCGAGGAGCCACAGGATAGCTGTAGAGACTTGCAGAGGTGGCAGAGCCCTTGCCTGAAACACCCACGCAATCCTCAAGGTCAAGGGTTCGATCTCCAGCAATGCAAAAAACAAAAGCTCAAAAAAGTTACACTACGCCTGTAGTCAATTTGATCTTCACAACACAATCAAGTGAACTTTGAAGTGTATTAAGTATGTAGCAAGCTCTATTTTATGAAACATGCTTTTATTAAATACCTTACTTTCACCCCCAATAAATGAAGATACATGACCAACTAAGACAGCATTACTTGTCTTTTGTTGTGAACCTAAGGCCCACGCTTGCCACACAAGGGCCCTTTTGTTTTTTATCCTGATCCAGGCTCTGGCTAAGTCGCCCAGGCTGGCCTCACACTTGTGAGACCCTCCCTTGGCTTCCTGAGTTGCTGGGTCTACACGTGCGCCCTGCTGCTGCACTCAGCTCCACTCAGTATTTGTTTCCAATTACTACAGTGTTGGTCAGTCATGTCACAATTTATATTCTACCTAAGACTTGAAAAATAAAATTCACAAAAACAATCTGTGTTATTCGGTAAACAGGGTATAAACACGTAATTTGTGGGTTCTGTTATTAAAGTTAAAATGAATAAATTCAAATCAGACTTAAAATTTAAGGCTTTTAAGTATATAATCCCCCTGGTAACTACAATGACATCAGCTACAGAAAATGTGTAAATGAAAATGAGAAAGGAATCAAAATGTGTCACTATTAAAAATTCAAAGGGGAACGACAAGTGGAGTGAGAGGGTACATCCTGGTAACCCCAGCACTGGGAGGCTGAGGGGCTCTGAAACTGGACAGCAGTTCAAGCTTTTTTTGTCAAAAGAGCTGTGGAGGTAGCTCAGAGCAAAGGCCCTGTGATCAATCTTGAGTATCATCAAGACAAAAAGCGCAGCTTGTGTGGTGGTGCACGCCTGTAATCCCAGCATTTGGGAGGATGAGGCGGGATTCACACCAGTTTAAGGCCAACCTGGTCTACTTGGTGAGTTCAGACCTGCCTGAACTGCACAGCTAGACCTTGCCTCATTTAAAAAAAAAAAAGGACAAAAATTACAGAGAACAAGAAGCAAATTGTGAAAATCCCACATCAGCATTACTTTAAATGGAAACGAATTAAAATCTCCAATAAAAACACAGAGAATGGCAGAATGAATTAAAAGTGATCCAGCCAGGTAGATATCCCAAGTTCCAGTCTGGCCTGAGCAACTCAGTGAAACCTTGTCTCGAAACAAAAACAATTTTTAAAAAGGGGGGGCTGGAGATGTAGCTCAGGAATAAAGAATAGATGTACTTGAATTCTGGGTTCTATTCTCAACACTAGGGGAAAATAAAGCAACTATGATCTAACTCTATGCTCTCTAAAAGAAATCCACTTTAGATCGAAAGAGACAGAAAGTGCTATAATAGGAAAATATACTCCATTCGAACACAGTAGTAACTAAATACTTCGTTAAGTGCTTTCAGAGTGCTGCCAACAATTCCACCTTTGAATTATGTCGTGATTACTAATGATGAATTCTATAATACTCCAATCATCAACCTATTTTCTACAGAGCAAAATATGATTCTTACCATAGATTTCTTCAAATTCTTGTAGTACGGGTTCCATCCGATGCTCACCACCATCTTATGAACATCACCGCTTCCAACACTGGCCCAACCATAATAAATGCCAGTAGATATGTCAGCAGGAAGGTTATCTACTACTTGTTCGGGAAAGTTAGCTAAACGACAAAAGGAAATATTCCAAATGTTAGGTTATCCGTAATGGCGAATTAAGCAATCAGGTCTTACTAAAACCAATATAGGCGAGCCAAAAATAGAAAGTGGCACGCATCCAGCTTCCTCTGTTATTCGACTGGATGCTAACTTATCCTAAACCCAGGTTTAAAAGTCGCTTTGACAGACCGGGCGATCCGGCCTACGCCGGATTTCTCAATGGGGCAATCAGCTGTCGGGCTCGGCCAAGTTCATCACGGCTGCATAGGAAGCCTGGGACCGGTCTCGGCTTTCGGTGCTCAGCAAGTGGTACCCGGGGAGCTCGGATCCAGGAGAGGAGAGACGCTCCCTGCAGCCGACCGAAGGTCCTCCGCCCTAAGGCCAGGGAGCGAGGCCAGGCCAGGGGTCACCTCCCCGGCGCCCTCAGACCCCGCCGCGGGACAGGCTCGGGCCGCGCTCACCAGTAGGGATGCCGAGCTGCTTGGAGCCGCGGCCGAAGCCCCGCACCACCTGGCCCCGGCAGAAGTACGGCAGGCTGCGCATGACGCCCTCCTCCAGAGGCGCGGCGGGTGCGTCCGGGGGGGCCGCCGTGGGAGCCGAGCCCCGACCCCGGGCCAGCCGGGGACGCGCGTGAGCTCCGCCGGACAGATGGCCGGCACCACTAGCCGCTGCGAAGGGTCGCGGGAGGCCCCTCGCGCCTCTGACCAACCGACTCCACAGGGTAGTCTCCGCCCGGCAGGTGCTGTACGCACGGGAGCGCGGGACAGAAAGCGCGGCACAGACCGCACGCCCGCCCAGGAAACCTCAGCTAGTCTGCTCGCTGCCCCACACTTCCGCGGCCGCCTATCGCGACTGCTCGGCTTCCGTAGCCCCGCCCCGTCCCGCGGCGCCGCGCCGCGCCACGCCCCACCCTCAAGGACGCCTAGGGGAACTCGGGGCTCTGGGTGCCGAGGGGCGTTGGCGGCGGGGGGCAAGGGGGGGAACCTGGGTTCAGCCTGCGGGCGGCGGAAGCTCTGTTCGCGAACAGTTCCGAGTTTCTTTTCATTCCAACCCTGACGCCAAAGGGAGACATTCTTCAGCTCCTAGGCAACCGCTGGGCGGCCCAGCGGACGCTGGTTGCGCCTGGCGCTCGCGGGCGCCTGGGTCGCTGCTCCCGCGTCTTCCCCTCTGCTGGCGCGGCGATCGCGGCCGGAATCTCCCGAAGGTAGGGGCCTGCCCTGTGCACCCCCATCCACCCCGATCACCGAGCCTCCCCCGGAGGAGGCTGCGCTGCCCCACTGCCCATCTCGGGAAGTCCGCCGGCCCGCCCGGAGGCTTGACTGCTGCCGGGCAGAAAAAGACCGCCTAACCCTTGGAATCATGACTTACCCCGAAGTAGTTTAAGAATCAGACTCACGGAGCTAGGGGTTTAGCTCAGCGGCATAAGCACCTGCCTTGCAAGCAGGCGGTCGTGAGTTCGATCCCTGGTACCGATAAAAGTGAAAAAGACAAAAAAAAGAATCAGACTCACATGATCTAGCCAGAAGCAGCAAGGTTGTAAAAAGGGGCAGCCTCTCGAGGAAAAATAAAAAATCAAATTATCGTCTTCTCTGTACAATTTTATAAAATTGCGTCCAAACCTGGTAGCCATTTTTCTTCTGCTTTACATGTACATGACTGACAATGGTAAATAAGGCTGTGGTCTCTGTATTGGTATGGAGAAAGTTTTGTTGACAGTTGTTTCCCTTACACTAGTATAACACCTCCCTCAGCAAACACTGTACATACTTGTAGAGAAATTTAGAGTCCAAGGTGTGCTCAGCTAGAGGAATGGAAGTGACTTGAGTCCACGTCTGGACGTTCAGAGCCTCAGCTTAGTGGAGAGGACCCCTGAGAAGTCTCTGAGTACAGGGCTAAACTGTAAACAGTAGAAATGAAATCCTTATAAGAGGCTAAAAAGTTTGATCCAGTTTGGAAAAATTAGACACAGTGAGATTCTGTCTCAAAATAAGTAAAAGCAGATCTCAGGATGCAAAGATCTCAGTGTCAAGACTGTGAAGCCAATCCCCACCACCACCACGGAAAACAAAAAGAAACAGGGAGGGAAAGACTTGGGGAATTTCTAAAATGGAACAGCTGGGCTCCCGTTTTCTAAAATTGCTGTTGTGTAATCCCAGCACTCTGGAGGCTGAGGCAGGAGGATCGTTCCAAGTTCAAGACCAGCTTGTGCTACAAACTGAGCTCAAGGCCAGCCTGAACTGCATAGTGAGACCTGACTGAATGAGATAAAATAAATAAATAATGCAGTAAAAATAAAACAGCCATTGACATGTCAGTTCTTATGCAAAATAATGGTGTAATCAGTTATAGGACTTTGGAAAATTCTGATCCTCTCTTATTGCTCAATAGTTTTCAATGGCTCCAGCCTCACTTTAAGATAAAATTGCTTCCCCAGGGTTCAAGTACCTTATCTATGAGTCAAATCAAAACACCTCCTCATCTCACTTCAAAGGCAAATAAATTGCTTGCGATCATTAGATGATTAGGTACATAATATAAATTATTCATTCCATTCATTTGATTCAAGAAATATGCTAATGGGTTCTGCTCTTATGAGACTGACAGGCAGTGTGGCACCTATCCCACATGACCCTGACCCCTAAAACAACAGCATATCCCTGCTACACTAATTCCTGTGCTCGTCTCCTGGTCCTAAAACAGTATCCTCTTTTTGTACACACAGCAAAGGTGCTCCAATCCTCCTCCCCAAACCACCCATTCAGGTAGTCTCCACCCACTATGCCAAAAAGTCTTCCAGTCCTTCCAACATGATGGTCTGTCCACTCATGTGGTCTCCACCCCTATCCCGATCCCATAAAAGGGACTCCCTGGCTTTGTCTCTTTTGAGAGTCCTTGCAATCTCCAGCAGCACTCCTGTGCCAGCAATAAAGGCTTTTTATCTCTACCCCTGTCTTTCAGTTGTGCCAAAAAACCTAACATTTTGGTGCCATGATTCAGATGGGTTGGGGTATGCAGCTCCAGTGGGGCTACCTAAGTTTGAGCTCCCCCCACCAACAAGCCACCTTTCCTCTTTTGTCTCTGCTTTTGCCATTGCCAGCCCCCGTCCAACACCGATCCAAACCTAATACTCTCAAAAGTCATGGGCCCCAAGTCAGGATTCCTTCACGTCCTCCTGGATGCCTCCTGTTCCCCTGGGTGATGACCTACAAAGGCTGACAGGGCACCTGTCTGTCTATCACACCCCCAATGAGGGTGACAATCCTTTTGGGGGTTGTGACCAGCTCCAACCTTTGGCTCACCTCCAATTTGATCACTATGAAAATACTCCTTCCCAACCCCCAACATACACTATGCTTAGGTGTCTCTTAAAAGATTTAAACACCCAGGGTCTAAAAGACACAAATCAAAATGACTAGTTTTTTATTGCCAGATGGCTTGGATTCAATTTAAACTTGACAGTAACAGTCACTGGCCAGAAAAAGGCACTCTTGATTTTAGCGACTTAGAGAACTTCAACTTCTGCTACCCTAATGACACGTGGGCAGAGATACCTTATATGCAATCCTTTATTTGCACTTAGGATGCGTCCCTCTAATTCAGGAACATGGGGTGGACCAAACGTTTCTGGCCTATTCCATGCCACCAAACCCTCTACCCGATTATCGGCAGTTCTACCATAGTCCTGCTGATCCCACTGATGATACTATGTTCGCTTTTGCTCCTTCCCCTCCCTCTCAACCTTTGAACCCAGACTCACCCACTCCATCTCCTCCTTACTCTGCAATACCTGCCACTTTCTCCTTCCCGGCTCCTCCAGCGTCATTTTTCCTCTGGCACACCACACCTAATCTCACTCTTCCCACCTCCCTCCATCTTCTCTCCAGCCACCACCATCTTCTCGCCACCCGCTACCTCACTCCTCCCACCTTGCACCACCTCCTCACCAGCTGTCACCTCCTTCTAGCCGGCCTGAGGGGCTGGTTTGTGTTCATGTCCTTTTCTCTCTGACCTGTCCCAAATCTCCCATAGGCTAGGCTCCTTCTCACCAGTTCCCCACAGCTGCATAAAAGAGCTCCAATTTGTGATTAATGCTTGTGATTTACACTATAAAGATCTCTAGTTCATTCTCAAATCCACCCTTTCTCCTCAAGAAAAACTCAGCTACGGGATGTGGCCCAACCTGAGGCTGACTATAGACACCAAACTAATCTTAATCATCCTCGGGGGCAACTGCGGTACCAAAGGCAGACCCCCACTGGAATTATCAAGGAGGACGTGGCTCACAACATGTGAAAATAATGACTGGCTGCATTATTGCAGGCCTACACAAAACTTCTCACGAAGTAACCACCACAAAGGGGCTGGGGATTTAGCTCAGCGGCATAAGCACCTGCCTTGCAAGCAGGCGGTCGTGAGTTCGATCCCAGTACCGATAAAAAAAAAAATTAAAAAAATAAAGTAACTACCACAAACTTCGCAAAGGGACTCAATGTGCTGATGGAAACCCTGCTGAGTTTCCTTCCCGTCTTACAGATACCCCAACCAAATATACTAATGTTAAACCCCAATCTCCTGAGGGAATAACCCTCATCAACTCCCACTTTATTACCCAATCTACCTCTGATAGTCACATTAAATTACAAAAAACAAATCTTGGTTGTCAAACCCCACAAAGAGATCTCAATTTGGTCTCTCGTGTCTTCAGTAATAGAAACAACAAAAGCAAGATAATCTTGAAAAGACTAAAATTAGATGCCAACTTTAGGTTGCGGCACTAGAGGCTTCTGGGAGAGCTAAACCCAAACAAAACGGTGCCACCCAAGCCCCTCCTGGACCATACTTTAAGTGCAGCAAGGAAAGACACTGGGTACAAGCCTGCCCTAACCGTGGCCACCCATGGGACCTTGCCTCATCTGCAACCAGGAGGGTCACTGGGAGTGGGACTCGCTCACAGGAGATCCCATCGTCACTGCTGCCAGACTCATCATGGGCTGATCTACTCAGTCTCACCGCTGAGGAGAGGATCGATGGGGCTTGGGGTCCATGGTCCCCATCAAGGTGTCTCTCTCAGAACCCTGAGTCTCACTGGATGTCTCAGGTAAGACACTCTCTTTCCTTGTCAGCACAAGTGCCTCTTTCAGGGTTCTGCCTGAGTTTTTAGGTCACTGTACCTTACCCACGATCTCTGTTACGGGAGTTGATGGCCAAACTACACAACCCTCCAAACAGGACCCACTCCCTGCCAACTCCAAACACTTTTTTTCATCCATAATTTCCTAGTAATCTCAACCCGCCCAGCACCCCTCTTAGGCAGCAGTCTCCTCTAAAAACTCAGCTTCTCTTTTACTTTCTCCCTTCTCATGGCTCTCATCCTTCAGATTCAACCACTGTGTGCCATCAATACCCCCTCCCACCCTCCTTTGATGATTCCCATAAGTCTGGGACTCCTCCAGTTCCACTTGTGCTACTCATGTCATTCCTGTGCTAATTCTTCAGACCCTTCAATCTTCCTCTGAGTTCCCCAATATCTAATAGCCTCTGAACATCAACAGGACTCAAATCTATAATCTGATGCCTATTAACCAATGGCTTTCTTAACACTGCCCGTTCACCCTACCATACTCCCATTCTTCTTCAAACCCAGTGGCTCTTACCACCTGGCTCAAGATCTCAGGGCTCTCAGCAATGCAGTGACACCAGTTCACCAAGTGGCACCAAATCCTTACACCAGCTCTCCCATCCTCCCCCACCTACTTCCCACTGAGTAGTTTTAGACCTCTTTTTTTTTTTGTCTATACTGGGGATCGAACTCATGACCTTGTGCTTGCCAGCAGGCACCTGTACAGCCAAGCTAACCCCGCCCCCCTACTATTCCACATCTATAGATGTCTTCTTCACCATCTGCTTACACCCTAATTGTCAGGACTTCTTCGCTTTCACATGGATAGACCCAGACCTCCTCCAATCTTTACAGCTCACCTGGACAGTGACACCTCAGGGGCTCAGGGTTGTCCTCACTTTTCAGGCCAGGCTCTTGCTACTGGTTTTGTGACTCTCTGCCTCAAACCCCACACTCTCCTTCAATATGTGGATGATCTCCCTCTGTGTTCCCCATCCTACACTCTAGCTATACAACATATGGTTATGCTTCTCAACTTTCTCTCAGGACATGGATATAGAGTGTCCCCACCAACGCCCAAACAGCTTCACCAAAAGTCAAATATATGGGGCTCACCTTTGCTCCCACCATCCGTTAGATTACCTCTGGCTATAAAGCCCTCCTCTGTGATCTCAGGTGCCAACTGCTGTACACTAGCAAAAAGAGCATTGTTATGTTTGTGTTATGCCTAAGTTATATGACCAAAGTACCTGGAATGCCGCCATACTGTTCTGTTTGTGGTTTTTTTTTGGGGGGGGGGTGACCTAATTGATATGTTAATCAATG